AGAATTCACCAGAGTCAGAGCAGGGAGTGGAGCAGGCAGAAGGACTGAAGTACACTGCTGAGGGGAGCAGCAGGCGGCAGGAGAGGTCTGCGCGCCATGTGGGACCCTCCTCCAGTGGCCGGGGAGCAGCCGGGAATCGAACCAGCGCTGCAGAGGCTGCAGACAGCTTCGCAACCCAGCGCTCAACTGCTGCACCACCCGGGAGGCCCATATTTTCTAGACTTTTATATGACTTAATACTGATATAGAAATGTGATGACTTTTTGACATTCTGTGAGCTCATCTGCATATTAAAATTTTTAAAAATACCAGTTGCTTTGGGGTTAGTTTCAACTACAGTAGAAACTTGGTAAATAAGTTTTGATGCTTGGGGCCTCCCTGGTGGCTCAAGGGGTTAGCACAGCACTGTGAAGCTATCCACAGCCTCTGCAGCATGGATTCAATCCCCCGCCAGCCAGGGAGGTACCCACATGGCGCAGCAGACCTCTCCTATCTCGCCCACTGCTCCCCTTAGCAGTATATTTCAGTCAATCTGCCTGTTCTATTCCCCACTCTGTCTCTGATGGATCCTCTCACCCTGCACCTCTGACCTGTACCCCAGTTTTTTTTTAAAGATTTATTTATTTATTTAAGATTTATTTATTTATTATTTATACAAGCACTGGGTACAGTCAGAAGCCTGGGAGGGTGAGAGAATTCACCAGAGCCAGAGCAGGGAGCAGAACAGGCAGACTGACGAAGCACACTGCTGAGGGGAGCAGCGGGCACGGCAGGAGAGGTCTGCTGCACCATGTGGGATTCTTGCTGGCCAGCTAGTATTGAACCGGCACTGCAGAGGAGCAGGCAGCTTCATAGCATGGCACTCAACCCACTGTGCCACTGGGGAGGCCTTGTTTTTTTTTTCTGATGGATTATTTTTTTTTTAATTATTTATTTATACATACAAGAACTGGGGTGTAAGCCAGAGGTGCGAGAGGTCTGATGCACCATGTGGGTTGCTCCCTGGCTGGCTGGGGATTAAACTTGTACTGCAGTGGCTGGGGATAGCTTGATAGCATTGTCTTTAACTCCTGGGCCACCCGGGTGGCCCTGTACCCCAGTTCTTGTATGCATAAAATAATAAATAAATTTAAAAAATTTGTTTTGATGGCTTGTTTCATTTCACTTTAGTGGAAAATTGGTTCAGAATATTATTCATAAAGAATATATATTATAATTTCTTTTTGAGACCTTGAGTTGTGTAGCATTTGTATTCTTATATCTACTTTGTTACAAACCATCACAGTTGTGTGTACTAGTTTGCCTAAGTAGCATTTGGGGCTGATTGGTTGTCGACCACACTATTCTTTATGAATAAACAAGAAAATTTTGTATCTTCAGTCAATACAAAAATTACAGATTTATCTGGAAACTCTTTAAAATGGGGTATCAGGGGCATCCCTGTTGGTACAAGAGATTAAGCAATCTGCAGCCTCTGTAGCGTGAGTTCGATCCCTGGCTGACCAGGGAGTAACTCACATGGCGAGACAGACCTCTCCTGTCTTGACCTCTGCTCCCCTCAGCAGTGTTCTGTTCCCCAGTCTGTCTCTGGTGGATCCTCTCACCCCTCACATCTCTGGCCTGTACCCCAGCTCTTGTATGCATAAATAAATAAATCTTCAAAAAAAATTTTAAAAAGGGCCTCTGCTGGTGGCACAGGATGTTGAGCGCCACTCTGTGAAGCTTTCTGCAGCCTCTGCAGCGCTGGTTTGATCCTGGCTGGCTGGCGAGGGTCCCACATGGCGCGACAGACCTCTCCTGTCTCGCCTGCTGCTCCCCTCAGCAGTGTGTTTCGTCAGTCTACCTGTTCTGTTCCCTGCTGTCTCTGGTGAATCCTCTCACCCTCCCGCAAATCTGGCCTGTACCCCTGTTCTTGTATAAATAAATAAATCTTTAAAAAAAATAAAATAAAATGGGGTATCAGTTCTACACAGATTGATGCAGTGGAAAGATCATGGTGCTTGCAGTCAGGTTATTTTTGGTGCATGAAGCCTTGGAGAGTTACTTGACTTCTCTTAGCTTTGTTTCTTTAACGAACTCTGTAGGCCCACCTCTGAAGAGTTGTGAAGATGTAATGAGCTAATACTGAACACATTGGGCCACATCAAATGTGAAGAAATTAACTCACTAGTGAAGTTTGTATTTTTTCCCCATCAGCACACAGGACGTTTATTAAGGAGAGGGGAAAAAAAGGGAAAAGAAATCCCTATGTAGACACAAATGGGCAGTCTTAAAAGATAAGAGCTGCTGAAGTTCATATTTTAAAATTAGTTTCGTAAAGTCAAGTAGATGAAATTGATGAGTTAACATGATTGTATTAAAGGTGATTGAGGCTTTAAATTATGAACTATTTCAGGAAGAAGAGAATCATGCCAAGGTAGAATCAAGTTTAAAAGAGCAGTTGTTGGGATTCTATCAACAAAATGGACCAAATTTATAATGAAAGTGCAAGAGGGGGATTTGGAAATGGATTCTCCCTTCCTTGGCCCTCTCTCTGCTCTGCGTGCACATACTTCCTTTTTTTTTTCTAAGGTTCTGAAATAAAAACAAAACTTAGTGAGACTCTGCAACAGCTGAAGGAGCTTTTGAATTCTTCCTAAAGAGGAAATTGACTTTACCTAACCAATGCACTTCCTGTGTGTGCCGTATCCGCTTGAAGACTGAAACAAGACCTGGTTGGTGTAGTGCTCACTGCAGAATTTCCTCTTGGTGCTGGGAGTGCAGACTGTATTGCAATGTTCCTACATGTAGTATCTGTAAGGTCTATATAAATTGACTGGGGGTCTTGTTAAAATTTCAGGTTCTTATTCAGTACTTCTGGGTGAGATCTGAAAGTCTGCATTGCAAACAGTATTACAGGTGATGGATCAAAATCAGAAGGCTTTCTCTCCCTGGCTCATTTGAAAATGTTTAAAAGCACACAACTGACTTCATTTTTATTCAACAACATTTTTTTTGCTGGGTGTTAGGGCTGTATCTCAAGGCTGAGCCAAATCTTGAATTACTCCCCCCTGTATTTAGTGACTTGTGTATTTCATAGAGGTTTTTTGTAACTTTACAGAAATAAGTTAACAAACTTAAATTAAGATTTCTTTTTTTTTTCATTATGATTTAAGGAGTTCTTTTACTTACTGCACACATAAACATTAATTTACATTAATGTCAAAGGAGAAAAAAATGTTTCCATGATCTGCCCACCCCAAACAATCAAACTGTTCCTTCCTCTGCCTCCATATCCTTGGGATGAGTATCTTTTGTTTTTATATGATTGTGAACATTTCTGGAAAACAATTTTGTATTCTGCTTTTAAAATCTAGTATTAGAGAATAAACAGAAAACTTTTTAAATTTCTCTATTAACTTTTGACAGATTGTGCTTTATTTCCATATTTTGAGAATTTACTTCTTAGCGGATTTTTCTTGGACCTCAAAGGCTCTTCCTAAGAAAAAAATAGTAAACAGGTTAGGGTAGTAATTATGTCATATGACACTAATATGATATTAGTATGATAATATCTGCAAAGTACAGTGTGTTTGCTTTAATTCAAGCAGCGTTTGGCTTATAGTTAGATTTTTCCTATTACGGGAGAGATAGTGGATTGTGTGTTATTTGTATTCTTTAAAAAATAAGATATGGTATCTGTACTGATAACTGGTATGTTCTCAAAATATGTGTGAAATGTAGAGATTTTCCTGTCATAGCTCCTGGAACACTGGTTCTTAGTCTGGGCTCTGTGCAGTGAGGGCAGTGTTCCTCAGAATCACAGGTGTGCTTATAAAAAATGAGAGTTCCATCCATATACCCTTCCACACTTCTCTTTCAGTGGGTTTGAAATGGAACCCAACAGTCTGAATTACAGCAGAGAGGCTATGTGATTCTTCTGCAAACCAATTTTCAGAATTATTACTTAAGACAAGCCATGGTTGAGATCTGAGGGAATTTATAACTTCTGAAACTGAATAACTGGGGTATGGGTTATTCATCTTTATGGGAAGAGGGGTTATAAACCTCTCCTTGATATTTACAAAGAGGACCATGGCCCAAAAAGGATTCAGTCAAAAATAACAACAAAAAGATGCAAGTCATTACCCCAAAGGTGTCCTTTATATGAACATTCTGTTTGCTGTGAGCCTTTTTGCATTTTAAATAAAATTTTAGTTCTATCATATTGAGGGCATTTTATCCATGAAGTGATTTTTTTTGATATTATGACTTTCTAAACTACCATTTCTTCACTTCTTTTCAGCAAAATGAATTTTAATCCCCTCCTAATTAAAAAAACGTATAGGTGGCAGTCCCTCTGCCCACCTGTGCCTATGCAGGTGCCTCTTTTCACCAACTCTCTCCCACTGCAGGGCAGCAGCCTCTCTGCCTGCCCGCGACCTGTCATTGACCTCCCTCAGGGGAAGCAGCTCTCTTCCATGCAAGCCAACAATGCAGGCCTCTCTCAGCAAGCCTGTCCTTTTCTAGGCATCCTTCCTGCCTGCTTGTGTCTATGCAAGTATCTTTTTACTCTTCTGTCCCCTTTCCCTAATAAACCTGCCCTTTAAATATAAAAAAAAGAAAAGTATAGAAATACACTATTGCCAATACCTATTTTTTAGCAGATAATAATAATTTCTAACATTTATTTATTGAGAACAACAGTGTGCCAGTTATTTTACCAAGTGTACTACATAGACATTTAATTTAATCCTCACAGCAACTCTATAAGATAAGCATTATTATGCTTATGAGTGCTTAAATTGACCAAATGGAATGATGGGACTAGGGTTTGAGACCATTCTTTCTCATGGGAAGGCCAATTTTAAGCAGGTCTTCAAGTTTGTGCAACTGAATCTCCTTTGGTTAAGCAATGAGGAAAAGATGATAGCTATGTGGTATCTTGAGATTATTATAGGTGATGCCAATGGAATAGCCTTTTCTAAGATTCTAATTCTGAGTTTTTTTGTACTCTTCAGATCAAAGAGAGTGCATCACAGACAAGAGATGTCCTCAAGCAGCATTTTAATGATTTAAAGGGGACTCTGGGGAAGCTCCTGGATGAGCGATTGGTGACCCTCTTGCAAGAGGTGGACAGCATTGAACAGGAGACCATTAAACCACTAGATGACTGCCAGAAGCTCATAGAACATGGAGTTAACACTGCAGAGGACTTAGTCCGAGAAGGTGGGAATCCAGGGAGCCAATTAAATGTGGCACATTTTGCTCATTTCTCAGAATACCAACAGGCTCCTTGCTACATGTGGGGTGCTTAGGATGCTACTACTTTGGGACAGTTTGTAATGTGGGATGAGAAAGATAGAGTGAGGTATTCCAGGGTAAGTGCAATTAAGTGTTAATTATAATCATTTACAAAACGAGGGGTAAACTTTTTCTCAAATGGTTCTGTGATAATATCTCATACTTTGTTATTTGAAGGTCATTTTGAGCCTATTCAGATATTGTTCAGAGTGTTCACGGTTGATAGAATTTAATTCCATTGTTCTTTTTGGAAGGGTAAGAAATATGTTGTTTACTTGTGAAATTGTACTTATGTTCCTATTTTTATCTAATTATTTTGGTTGAAGCTTTTTCAAATTTTGTCTTGCTCTCTTTCTTCCTTCATGTCTACCTTCCTTCTTTTCCTTCCTTCATATGGGTCTTTGTCAAGTACATTAAATAAAAAGGTAACAGTTCTGCCTTTTGGGGTTCACAGCCCTATGAATGGGGCATACATGCAGAGAGAGAGCTATAGGCTTTATGGGAACATAGAAAGGGAAGTACTTAACTCTGTCTGCGAGGGAATAGGTTAGCTTTCTGTAGAATTTGATCCACAGAGGCTTGAAGAAATTCGTCAAGGAGGCAAAGGGAGAAAAAGAGGTAACAGCATGATTTGAAGCAGAAATAACATCACCAGTGAAGTAACCAGCATATCAGGAATCTGTTGACCTAGTTTAGGTAACAAAGTTACACAGTCAGGTTTGCATTTTAAAAAGATGACACTGCCTACAGTTTGGAGATTGTATTAGATGTTATAAGACTGGAGGTCAAAGAGGTTGATGGCAGAGCTGGCCTTCAGACTTTTTATAGATTGATGATTCTGTTGATCAATACATGTTGATTATTGGTGATTACCTAAGATGGAGGATAAAGGGAATGATTTAGGATGAACGAAACTAGCCTGATTCTGGAAGACTGGGTGAATTGGGCCCTTTACTTACGTAGAAAAGGAAGGAGGAGGGCATCCCCTGGTGGCACAGCAGTTGAGCGCTAGGCTGTGAAGCTGCCCGCAGCCTCTGCAGCGCCAGTTTGATCCCCGGCCACCGCCAGTTTGATCCCCGGCCACCGGCGAGGGTCCCACATGGTACGCAGACCTCTTCTGCCGCACCCACTGCTCCCCTCAGCAGTGTACTTCAGTCCTTCTGCCTGTTCTGCTCCCCGCTCTGGCTCTGGTGAATTCTCTCACCCTCCCGCACTTCTGACTATACCCAGTGCTTGTATAAATAAATAAAGAAAAAAAGAACTCTGAGACTGCAATGGGATGGGAATTAAGACTAGAAAACTTTAAAAAAAAAAAAGAAAAGGAAGGAGGAGGGGTGGACTTAAGGGAATAGTTAGACATTCAGTTTGGGACATGTTGTGTTTGAGGAACTTGTAATGCCAGGAGGCAGTAGATCATCTAGATAGTGTTTACTATGAGAAGAGAAGATGGCAGAGGATAGCACTCCTAGGGGTTCCGATGTTTAAGGGGTAGTTGCTGTTACTGGTTACCAGAAGGGAAAGGAGGAGGGTGAGTTAATCAATTGTGTGATAAAGAATGGGATTATACTTATAGTGGTAAACTGAATGTAGTATATGGAGATATTGGTTTATGATGATGTACACCTAAAACCTATATATTATAAACCAATGTTCTTCACTAAAACTTTAAAAAATAATAATAAAGGCAGTTAGGGATAAAGAGACTGGAAAGGAGAGTCTATACCATCTATTCTGCAGGTTGAGTTCTGTAAGTGACATTGAATAGAAAATGTGCGTAACTCACAAGCCTGTCACTCCTACTGGAAATTAATCCCCTTTTTGGTCCACTTAGAATATGGTGCTGCTGCTGTCTTTACTTTCTAATTACATTTTTGTCTTATCGTCAATGGGAAGTGTTTATTTGTCCCTGTCCATAACCGTGCTTTTAGAAAAAAATCTTTGTAGCAGGACCACAGAATGTCTCTCCCTGGAGGCTTTGCATTTGGGAACAAACCCAGAAGCTGTTCAGCACAGGTCAGGAGTGTACACTCATCACTCTAAGGACTGAGGAATGTTTTAATTTTAGAAAATAAATCCTTTGGGGCACATACATGTTTGTTACAGCATCTGATGTTTGAATTTTTTCGTATTTCAGAAATACTTTAAATCATATAGTCTTTCTCTCTCACCCTCTCAAGGGATACAAATTTATGGAATTGTGAGGACTTTAACACAGTGTTCAATAGGTCTGTATTCCTTTTGGTGAAGGAGAAGGTTATGTGATCTCAAAACATTAGGACACATTCTAGGACACATTCAGATGGAAAAGTTTGGTAGTGTTCTTCAGGGCTGTGGAACAACACAGAAATTATTTTTTTTCTGTGCCCTTATATAGCATTTTTTCTGTATTGTTCTGTTGAGTGATTTCTAATCTAATGTTTTATATTCTTTAAGGAAAATATAACTGTTATCTTTTGACTTTATACGACTCTATTCCTTGTTGTTCCAATCAGGCTAATATTTTTACTGGCTCTCTTTGGAGTTGATAAAGTTTCTGTACAAGACATAGAAAAAGTCCCTGGACCTCTGTTTTGCATAAAGTTGGTTGATAAACGATTTCCTTGTATAGAGCACAATCTTTCATCACTGGCAAAGTGTTACTGTTATTTGCCCTTTTTCCTCTTGATCTTAACATTTCAATCACTTTCTACTTCTACTCTTTGAGAATTCTGTGGCATTACTCAAGCAGTGTTTGCAAGAAAACCAGGAGCCCACTGAGCCGTGGGTTGTGTTGATTGCTTTATGATGTGACCATTTTTCACTATACTGTAGTTCTCTCATTCCTGATTGTAGGTGAGATCGCCATTCTTGGTGGTGTAGGAGAACAAAATGAAAAGCTGTGGAGCTTTACCAAAAAGGCCTCTCACATTCAGTTGGACAGGTAAAAGCGTTAGTGCCTTTTGAACATTCAAGTACTTGGATGTCTGCTTTTTTCCTCATTAACGATTCTGATTAAGGAAGATAAAGAATGTATCTTTCAAGGTTTCACTGTCATTACTAGTATTACTGGTATAAAATAGTTGTGTTTGTAATCTTTAGTATTACTACAGACTTTTTTTCAGTTCTAATGTGTGTAAGAGAAATGTTAAATTTTTAAAATTCTGAACATATTATTGAAAATCAGTCATATCTCAATAAAATAGATCTTTTGGTATAAATTTGTTAACCATGATCCTACCACTTTTCTATCTTCTTTCTTATATTTATTTGGAGAGAGAATCTTTACATATCCTACATCTTGCAAAGCCCCCACTGTCATTAGCATTATTTACTGGGGCCTTCAGCATCCTTATAATAGTATATAACTGGTCTAAAGTAATGCTTGTATTTTTAACTCAGCAAAACCCTCATAAACACATGAGCTTTATTTCTTTAGCTTACCAGAAGTGCCTTTACTGGTTGACGTGCCTTGTTTATCTGCTCAGTTGGATGACTCAATTCTTAACATTGTGAAAGACCACATTTTTAAGCATGGAACAGTAGCATCTCGCCCACCAGTACAGATAGAAGAACTAATAGAGAAACCTGGAGGCATCATAGTACGATGGTGTAAGGTACGTAATTCAGAATCGTCAAAGTGGCTTGAACGTGAAGATTTGGGGGCCTTTAACATTTTTTAATTGTCTTTGAATATTTTCTTCTATTCATAAACAAAAATCACTTTTGCTTTATAATTAAAATGCTGTCATAGGGAACCTGAAGTAGAGTAGCTCTTTCAGTTTGAAGTGAATAGTTCTGGAGTACTTTTTAAAACTTCTGTATCACAACATTGTCCCTCATCATATTCTCACATATTTTTTTCAAAGTTAACTCTTGAGTTGAGGACCTTTCCCATTCCTGCTTATTAGAAAAGTCAAAAGATGATCATGAATGTTGGGTGTCGGATATTTTTCTGTTCAACACTGAACTAAAGTTCCTCTGAAATAAAATTCTTGAAGTGTGATTTCTTCACATGCTCAGCATTGCCAAGAATTTTGTGTGTTAGATCATATAATGTATGAGTTACCATATTTTTGATAGAAACCATGTCCAAATGAGTCATAGCATCTTGGCCATCGTTGGCAAATACATCATTCAGAGGTGGGTGCTCAGCTTTTAGAAACTATTTTCTTAAATGGAATGTTTAAAAATAAGACCTTGGTGTAGAAGAAAGAAGCAATACTTTTGTTGGTTCAAAACATGATAAGGATTCCTTTATTTTTTTAAAGATTTATTTTATTTGTTTATGCATACAAGAGCTGGGGTGCAGGCCAGAGGTGTGGGAGGATGAGAGCATTGACCAGAGACAGAGTGGGGGGCAGAACAGTCAGATTGACTGAAATACTCTGCTGAGGAGAGCAGCAAGCGAGACAGGAGAGGTCTGCTGTGCCATGTGGGTCAGCTCCCTGGCCAGGTATAACACTCACTGTGGACAGCTTCATAGTGCTGAGACTTAACCCCTTGCACCACCAGGGAGGCCCCTTACTGTGGTTTCAGATTACATTTTCCATATTACAAATAAGCTTGAATATTTTTGCTGGTTATATTTCTTACTCTTTTAAGTGCTTATCTGGGGCCTCCCCTGGTGGCACAGGGGTTGAGCACTGGGCTGCGAAGCTGCCCGCAGCCTCTTCAGCACCAGTTCGATCCCCGGCTGGCCGGTGAGGGTCCCACGTGGCGTGCAGACCTCTCCTGCCGCGCCCGCTGCTCCCCTCAGCAGTGTGTTTCATCAGTCTGCCTGTTCTGCTCCCCGCTCTGGCTCTGGTGAATTCTCCCGTGCTTCTGACTGTACCCAGTGCTTGTATAAATAAATAAATAAATCTTTAAAAAAATAAAGTGCTTATCTGTGTTTTTTGCCCATTTTTTATATTAGGTGGTTTGTCTTCTATTAATTTTTAGGAGTCCATTATATATTCTGGGTGTTCATTCTCTTCGTTATGTGAATGATGTGGGATTTTTACCTATAGATTTTTAATATTTTATCTTTGGCATTACTGTGTAGAAAACATGCCATTTCTGGGCCTCCCCTGGTGGCGCAGCTGTTGAGCACTGGGCTGCAAAGCTGCCTGCAGCCTCTGCAGCACCGGTTCGATCCCCGGCCACCAGCGAGGGTCCCACATGGTGTGACAGACCTCTCCTGCCGCGCCTGCTGCTCCCCTCAGCAGTGTATTTCGTCAGTCTGCCTGTTCTGTTCCCTGCTCTGGCTCTGATGAATTCTGTCACCTTCCCGCGCTTCTGACTGTACTCAGTGCTTATATAAATAAATAAATAAATAAATCAATAAATCTTAAAAAAAAAAAAAAAGACATGCCATTTCTTTAAAGGTAGGTTTTTTTCATATCAGACTGAGAAGTATAAAGTATGCTGGTCAAGAAGGAGAGTAATGAGAGCATGTTTCCTATGGTCTTCCTGGTGTCACTCATATTCAGCATGTGGGCTTGTCTGCTTGGCCTAAAATGTTCCCATTCAAAGTTTTTAAGTAATGAGGCCGAGAGAAGTTTTCTTTTTATTTTTAATTAATAAAAGAGAAATTATTCTTTCATTTAATTAATAAATTACTTTTTAATTTATTCTTTAATTTTTCTCCTTAGGTGGATGACGACTTTACAGCCCAAGATTACAGGCTCCAGTTCCGTAAATGCACTTCTCATCACTTTGAAGATGTATATGTTGGCTCTGAAACTGAATTCATAGTACTGCACATAGACCCTAATGTCGATTATCAGTTTAGAGTCTGTGCACGGGGAGATGGCCGGCAGGAGTGGAGTCCCTGGAGCGTCCCGCAGATAGGTCATTCCACACTGGTGCCTCATGGTATGCTCTTTCCTTCTTACCCCTGAAAGTTAACTATGAACAAGAACACTTGTATTCTGAGCTTAAGGCAGTATACTTAGAACCCTCTTTTTTTTAAGGGTGAACCCTGAATTGATGAGAATTGCATGGAACATGTCTTTTGTTTCTTGGTCAAGTTACTTCATGTGAATTTGAGCAATTTTCATCAGCTCTTATCTCCAGAGTCCGGAAATAGTGCCAGAAAGGAGTATTAGCATCCCCTAAAAATAAATATTTTAAATGCTGCATTACATACTGCTTTTTAAATCTGTCTATAAATATCTAATATAAGTATTAGGGGCTTCAAGTTTTCTTAAAACTTATGATTTGGAATTGATCTCTTTTGTATTACTATTTTAGTCTTATTAATTAGTTCTTAATCTAGTTGGAACAAGCTCAGTTATACTTTATGATTTTATTAATGGGAGATAACACTTATTTGATTTTCCACATCAAAATTGTGCAAGAATAGGCTGAGATCTTTTTTATGTGATTTGTATTCTAAATCTTGATTACTGTTTATTAAAATTGCCCATAAGAGTTAGGTGCCTCTACTTTCAAGTTTTATTTAATGTGCCTGTATTAAAAGTACTCCTCAGAAGATTCTAAATAATTTTCAATATCTTTGCTTTTTGAAAAAGAATGGACAGCTGGCTTTGAAGGGTATAGTCTGAGCAGTCGAAGAAATATAGCGCTCCGGAATGATTCGGAATCATCAGGTGTCCTCTACTCCAGCGCTCCGACGTATTTCTGCGGGCAGACATTAACTTTCAAGCAAGTAGATGTTAAGATATAGATCTGTTGCCGCACTCCCTCTGCCCACCTGTGCCTATGCAGGTGCTTCTTTTCACCAACTCTCCCTCTGCAGGGCAGTAGCTTCCTGCCTGCCTTCCCATGACCTGTGCCGTTCCAGGACTTCTCTTGTCCCTTTCAGGGCAGCTCTTCCTGCCGGCTTGTGTGTATGCAAGTGTACTTCACTTTTCTGTCCCTTTTCCTGATAAACCTGCCCTTTAAATATAAAAAAAAAATTATCTGTCAGGCTCTAAGTGATATAGTGGAGTGCATAGATCCTACATGAGTTTCAGGTTAAAAATAGTCCTGAGTTTATTCCATCATTGATGGGAAGTTTTACTTTGTGGGTGTTATTTGTCTTTGCTTCAGTTTTCTTGGGTGTATTTACAGGGCTGTTATGAAGATTAACTTAGATAATTTATATAAAATGCCTTGCTTATATCTGATATAAAGTAGATACTCCTTATAAGGTCTCCTCTTGGTAAGTAGAGGTAAATAGACTACCTCTCAGAAGTCAGTCTTAAAAATTCAGAGGCCAGGCCTCCTTGGTGGCACAGGCAGTTGAGTGCAGCGCTGTGAAGCTGTCTGCAGCCTCTGCAGTACCGGTTCGATCCCCACCAGCTACAGAGATGTCCATGTGGCGAGGCAGACCTCTCCTGTCTCGCCCACTGCTCCCCTCAGTGGTGTGTTTCATCAGTCTGCCTGTTCTGTTCCCCACTCTGTCTCTGGTGAATCCTCTCACCCTCCTGCACATCTGGCCTGTACCCCAGTTCTTGTATAAATAAATAAATCTTTAAAAAAAAAATTCAGAGGCCAAGATTTTTTTTTTTTTTTTTTTGTGAATCATTAAGAAGTCTCTGTGAGGGCCTCCCCTGATGGCGCAGCGGTTGAGCGCGGAGCTGCAAAGCTGCCTGCAGCCTCTGCAGTGCCGGTTTGATCCCCGGCCGCTAGCGAGGGTCCCACATGGTGCGCAGACCTCTCCTGCTGCTCCCCTCAGCAGTGTATTTCGTCAGTCTACCTGTCCTGTTCCCCACTCTGGCTCTGGTGAATTCTCTCACCCTCCCGCGCTTCTGACTGTACCCAGTGCTTGTATAAATAAATAAATAAATCTTAAAAAAAAAAAAGTCTCTGTGAGAGACAGTGTAAATATCTTTTTTGTCTTCCTCCCTCCCTCCTTCTCTCTCTCACTGTTAAAACTGAAATCAAGCCTATCCTACAACCAGTTTTCCATTTATTTACCTATTTATTATATTAGAAAAATTTCCTTTATTTTTTTCATGTTATTTGAGATGTATTTTCTTTTTTTTTTAAAGATTTATTTATGCATACAAGAACTGGGGTACAGGCCAGAGGTACAGGTGAGGGGGTGAGAGGATTCACCAGAGACAGAGTGGGGAGCAGAACAAGCGGATTGACTGAAATACACTGCTGAGGGGAGCAGCGGATGAGATAGGAGAGGTCTGCTGCGCCATGTGGGTGGCTCCCTGGCTGACCGGGGATCAAACTTGTGCTGCAGTAGCTGTGAATTGCTTCATAGTGCTGACGCTTTACCCCTTGCGTCATCAGGGAGGCCCCTGAGATGTATTTTCTAAGGTCATATTTCTAAATAGCTTTTCCTAGAAACCAAAGACCAATTTTGAGTTAGGAAAGTAAAACTTGCCTGATGCTCACCATACTCACTTCAATGTAGCAGCCTCTCCCAAGTTTTAAATTTTGAGATCATGGGATTTTAATGTGAATGTTTTTCCACGTTCTTCTTGTTATTTTCTTGTTATATTGGGCATGAGTATCTGAGAGCTTTATGTAAGCTAACATTGCCATGTTCTCCTCCACTCAAGTTGTTTTAACAGTCAGCAGCTATCAGAAGGCGCGTATTTATGCTTTGTTTCATTTGTGATATCTCCTCTCATCCTTATGTTATGAAGAATGACTTGATAACCAGAAAAACACTAACAAAGAGATAGAGGCATTAGTCTAACAGCTGGTCTACTTAGTTATTCCCTGAGTAAATCATGAGTTTTCTATGCTAGCGAACTTCTGTGCTTGTGCCCTTGTTTATAGCAATGCTCCCCTTAGTGAGTCTCCTGAAAACAAGTATTTCTGTGTAATCATGGGGCTTTCTGATGCGTAGATTCAGGCCAGATATCTCAGACCATCATAAGAGTAATGGTTATAGTAACAGTAATAGCAGTTAATATTTAAATAACATTCACTATGTACAGGTACTATGCTAAGCATTTACTTCTATTAACACATTTGATTCTTATCCCAATGAAATAGGTGTAGGTACCCATTTTAGGAATGAGAACATTGAAGCACAGAGCAGTTAAGTTACTAATAAATGGTAACTAATAAATGGTAAACCCAGGATTTAAATCCAAGCAGTGTCATTTCAGAGTCTGGTCTTAAAAGCTGGTCTATAATGCTTCTTGTTTATCTTTTTCATGAAAGCATAAACATGATGCTAGTTAGTGTTGAAATCTATACTTCCTCTGCTATTTGTGTCCTTACCTCTTTTATTTTTCCATATTTTATAACCCTCATCACCTGGCACTTTATAACTAACTGAAATTTAGTTAAGCTCAGTATTATATTAGCCAGACCTTTGCATTTTTGTCATTTTTCCTTTGAGTATAGAGTGAAAATATTTTCTCTCCTTGTTTAAAGGAATTTCAGGTATCAGCAAATAGGTCAGAAGATTTGGATGGCAAGGGGCACCCGGTGCATGAGGGAGGGGCAGATGGGCCTATTTGTTTTTTTTTTTTTTTTTTTTTTTTTTTAAGAGGCATGTATTTTTATTTATTTATTTGTTTGTTTGTTTGTTTGTTTATACAAGCACTGGGTACAGTCAGAAGCGCAGGAGGGTGAGAGAATTCACCAGAGCCAGAGCAGGGAGCAGAGCAGGCAGAAGGACCGAAGGACACGGCTGAGGGGAGCAGCAGGCGGCAGGAAAGGTCTGCGCGCCATGTGGGACCCTCCTCCGGTGGCCGGGGAGCAGCCGGGGATCGAACCGGCGCCGCAGAGGCTGCGGGCAGCTTCGCAACCCAGCACTCAACCGCTGCGCCACCAGGGAGGCCCCAGATGGGCCTATTTGAATAAAGGTTACTTTATTCAGTTTTCTGAGGGTGTTTGAGAGCCCTTGTAGTTAGGAAGGAGGTTATACTCCTGTCGGCACTACGCTGTTGCTAAGCCCAGTCTATTCTTGTTGAAGTTCCTGGAAGGCTTAGAGCTGTTGAAGTTAAAGAAAGTTGTTACTGCTGACTCCTCACAGTAGCTAGAACCCACTCTCCTTTTGTGCTAGCAATCCCGCCTTCCTGGCCTCTCCCTGATTTCCTGTATCACCTTCTTTCTTTCTTTTTTTTTTCTTTAAAGATTTATTTATTTATTTATTTATTTATTTATTTATTTATTTATTTATTTATACAAGCACTGGGTACAGTCAGAAGCGCGGGAGGATGAGAGAATTCACCAGAGCCTGAGCGGGGAGCAGAGCAGGCAGAAGGACCAAAGTACACTGCTGAGGGGAGCAGCGGGTGGCAGGAGAGGTCTGCGTGCCATGCGGGACCCTCCTCCGGTGGCCGGGGAACAGCCGGGGATCGAACCGTCGCTGCAGAGGCTTCGGGCAGCTTCGCAACCCAGCGCTCAACGCTGCGCCACCGGGGAGGCCCACCTTCTTTCTTTTTAAGATTTATTTTTGGGGGGTGGGGGGTGGGAGGGGAAGGATTGGGGTCAGAATGGGGCGTTTGCAATTGTATGGGGGAATATAAAAATAAAATTTAATATTTAAAAAAAAAAAAAAAAAAAGATTTATTTTTGCATACAAGAACTTGGGTGTAGGCCAGAGGTATGAGGGAGATGAGAGAATTCACCAGAGACAGAGTGGGGAGCAGAACAGGCTGATCTGCTGAAATACACCGCTGAGTGGGAGCAGCAGGTGACAAAGGAGAAGTCTGTTGTGCCATGTGGGTCAGCTCCCTGATGGGGAATCAAACACAGGCCTTCTCAGTGATAGTGCTGAGACTTAACCCCTATGCCACTGGGGAGATCCTTTACCACCTCCTTTCTTTATAACAGCTTCCTTTCTAAATAGCCTTTCCCAATCCTCATTGCTTAGGAGGTTACTGTTTTTACAGATGAAGAAACAAAAGCCTACCGAGACTTAAGTGACTTGTCAGTTTTCAAATCCTGGCAGTCAAAGTCTGTGCTCTTAACCACTGTGTTGTAATATATGGTGGCACATCATGGGAGCAGCAGGCTAGTGATATTTTGTTATTAACTTGTTCCATCAAAGAATATTAAAAAAATTATGTTTCCAGTTCAAAATCTAGAAGCTTAAAATAACAGTAGTCCTGGTCTCCCTGGTGGCGCAAGGGGTTAAGCACGGCACAAGGGGTTAAGCACAGCACTGTGAAGCTGTCCGCAGTCTCTGCAGCACGAGTTCGATACTCCGGCCAGCCAGGGAGCAACCCACATGGCGCAGCAGACCTCTCCTGACTCGGCTGCTGCTCCCCTCAGCAGTGTATTTCAGTCAATCCACCTTTTCTGTTCCCCACTCTGTCTCTGGTGAATCCTCTCACACCTCTGGCCTGTACCCCAGTTCCTGTGTACATAATAAATCTTTAAAAAAAAAAATAGGGGCCTCCTTGGTGGCACAGGTGGTTGAGCGCCGCTCTGTGAAGCTGTCCGCAGCCTCTGCAGCGCGGGTTCAATCTCGGCCGGCCAGCGAGAATTCCACATAGTGAAGCAGACCTCTCCTGTCTCGCCCACTGCTCCCCTCTGCAGTATATTTCTTCAGTCTGCCTGTTCTGTTCCCTGCTCTGTCTCTGGTGAATCCTCTCACCCTCCCGTGCATCTGGCCTGTACCCCGGTTCTTGTATAAAAATAATCTTTAAAAAAAAACCAAAAAAATAGTCCTTTGTTTTTCTCAGTAGACTACAGTTTGGGCAGATCATGGCAAGGATAGCTAATTTTTACTTAGATGG